AAGCAACAAACACACCTGAAAGTTAAACACTGATAATGTGAGCCAGGTTCCCTTGTAGATTAGGCTCCAAGCATATTCATATTTCTACATATTTACTATATAAGTTGGTAATTTAAAATAATTGTAATGTTATATAAACAAATATATGTATAACTGTTCAGGAGGACCTTTTACTTCTTTATGTTAAGTCCTGATAACTAATCATTAGGTATACATTAGCCATTGTTTGATATTTTTTTTAATCTGCCATAGTGAAGTCCAGATTACAGTCCTGTGCTCTTTGATGGAAAGCATTTTATGTTAGAAGACTGTCATTTACAAGGTTTTGAAACTGTAATAGTGCTTTTTTGTTGACTTAAAAAAAAAAAGGCTTCTGGGATGGATTTGTAAAGCATTACTTTCTTTTTTCTCTTTGTGCATTACAGACACATGCTTAAAAGTTATTTATTCTACTAGTTTAAAGGCAGTATTCTGCAAAAGACCTCTTCCTCTTCTTCCTTCTTAGCTCTGTCCTCTCAAGCATTGAGTTGTATGTATTCAAGCTCCTGTAGTTTTGATTTAGTAATCATGTGAAAGCATGCAGCAGTGTATTTAATGTAGTTTATTGGAGTCTGAAGCAAAAAGCTCCTTTAAAGAAGAGCATTTTACATTTTAAGTAAAACATACCAATAGGTATGCTTTCACTTTGATACTGTTTATGACCTCAATTCTGCTACAGAGCTAGTAGATGCCAGCTGAAAAACAAGTATTTTACAGATTCAGTCAAGAGTGGCTCTTACATAACTGTACCCTCAACACAATGAAAAATATTTATTTTCTTCTATAAATGGTTTGTATAGAATCCAAAATTAAATATAACATTACAATTTTTCAATAGATCATAAGGGGAAATAATTTTCAAAAGCTGACATTGCAATAGAGAATAGTGAAATAGTGCAATAGTGAAAAGAACAATAGTTCACTTGTTTAGTGTGTTAGACTATTGTTTGTGATAAGACATAAAAATCATGACTGTTAGATAATGCCTTGATATCTGCATTGATAGTGATTGTAGTTTATACGATTCTGAGAGATAAGAACTTTTAACAACTGTTTCTAAGATATCATATTACCAGAAGGACAGAGTGTGAATATGAGAAAGGAAGCAAGGATATGCACATATTTTTTTCTAAAAGGGAACCACAGTCATATACTACAGCTGATTTCCAAAGGGTGGAATATTTTTGAAGCCTAAATAATTTTTTCTTAAGCTTTCAACAAGTAAATAAAATACATAACTCTTTTACACAAATACAGAGTAAAATTAATTTAAAAAAATGTTTTGAATTTCTGGTCTTGATTTCAAAAACACAAATATAGGTGGCTATTTTTATGCATGTAAGCATCTTCATTTCAGTAAATGTGTGCACAACTAAGTGACTGCAGAACCAGCTCTCAGATGTCTGAACTAGAGATACCTCTGGCTCCATGTGATCTTTTACTTCCACAGGTAGGATGCAGGTAAAAGCATAAAAGTAAATAGAAGGAGAAAAGTTGATAAGAATAGGTCACACAAAAGGTAGAAATCTAAAATTAAATATTTAATTAGAACTCTGATTTAGCTTTCAAGGTAGGTGGCATTGCACAGGCTATATTACAATCTTTTATAGTATTTGTTGGTTTGGGTTTTTTTTGCCAAAGAGAATACTGTTTATTTTTAACAGGCCACTTTAATATTAATACATGTTTAACAGGACCAGAACTGAAAATCAGCTAAAGATGGTAAATTTTACATTATTGGGAAAATTACATTTTTTTGTATTGTAAAAACATTTATTTTTAACAATTTACCTACATTAATCAAAAAAGTACAGCATATTTAATAATTTTACAAATTCTTCATAAAAAATATATCTCTGTACAAAAAGTTCTTTTGCACCTACTTCATGTCACAGCAGCATGTAGTGAAATGGCAGAATGAAATACTGGGAATGAAAATTAGATTGACTTGATCATAATGCCAGTGTTCTTCCCCAGACCCCCACCCTCACCCTCCCAGCTTTTTTTTTTCTTTTAAAACAGCTTTTCTTTGTTTACAAAATATTTTACACAAGAAAAAAATTATTGCAGCTAGCCTGGAGAAAGGCAAGATGTGTGATAGAAGCAGCAGTTTTTAACAGCTTTGAAGCACATAACCTTTTTTTAAAAAAAATATATAGCATGTATTATTAGCCCGTCATAATGATATGGTCAACACTGGGGGAAAAGCCTTCTGCATATATCTCAGAAAGCAGATTTCCTGGCTGCCATTACCTGGCCACTGCACAACATTTTAAGTCTTGTTCTGATGAAGCACCATATATAAGTGCATGTATACACAGCCCTGTAAAATAACTTCAGGAGAAAGAGATCCAAACTGAATAGAAGACTCAAACATAGCACAGAAGGACAGGGATTTGAAGGATGTGGATAGAACTAAGAGAGCTTTCCTTTACTTGAGTTCTAGTCTGAAGCTCCTATTTAATCAATACTCCAAACAAACATCTTTGGATAATTTGTCCTCGTACCCCAATTTTGAGTGTCCCTGATCGAAGAACTGTCACTCAAGATAAACACTCCTTGCATAATCTTCCCAAAATGAGCCAATGAATAAAGGATTCATAGGCTCTTTAACACAAAAAGCCCCAAATAATTTAACTATGTTCCTTTCCGAGACCTATCCTCCAACACACAGCTTGGTGGTCATGAGACCACTCACTGAAGAACACACTGTAAGGGCAGGAGTAGAAAACATCAATAATAGCTAAATATCTAGAATTTTGCACTTTTTTCAATACTCCATTTTTTTTCTGCCATTGCCACTACAGAAAGACTTCCAAAGCAGTAACATTTATTTTGAACACCTGTCAAACACTTCAATCACACAACAGCTTTCCTCCCTGGCCCATTGTTCCTGTGGAAGGTATTTGCAGAGGGACTTCCTTTACATGGGGGAGGATCAGGACAACAACTTTGATCTGATGACTTTGTTCTTTCTCAGGAAATGTGAAGGGTTCTGAGATGTGACAGATAAATGAAACTTACTGCACAAAACCTCAGAAACAAACAAAAAGAAAGCCAAACTACTAACAAAATGAACAAGGAACTGACTGGAAAGGATTATTTATTAATTTTTCTTCAGAGTTTCTTGCTCATATGAAGAATATAACAGCTGGAGGCCCTACAATACTATATTATATTGCTGGTATTTTTCATCCAACAGATGTAGAGTGGTTAAGCTGACCAAGGGTTACCTTTGAAATTTTCTTTGCATTCTGCAACATTAGCTGAAAAATCTGTTATTTGGCTTATATTACCTTTTTTTTTGTGTGTATAACAGCCAGATCTAGACACATATGGAGTTCAGAACCATTTTTCTACAGTTTTGGATAGCATCTGGACATTAGGACAGTTTGAAATTCAGAAAACTTAACCAAAACAACAAAAAACAATCCTGAATTTTCAAGAAAAGCAAAGCAACTTTCCTGGTTTCTGAGCTCGAAGTGTATGACTAGAATCAGATTTTGCTTCACTGTTTCCTGTAATTTCATAATTTTGAAACTCAATTCAATTACTTTGCCCAATAGCATCATTTATCTGTTTGTTTTCATTCAATAACACCTCTAATTTTAAACAAATGTTAACAATTTACTCAACCATTCATATTTACAAATCTCAAACTTTGTCAAACTGTGTAAGTACAAAAGCAGTAAGCAGAGTGCTTAAAATGTGAAAAGAAACAGAAAGCAAAGATAGATGAATAGTTATCTTTGTTCAAAGTAGAAACTGAATGACAGCTTGTTATAGACAATTTGCTCTGGGTTTACATATGCTACTGTAATGTAATTTAGAGCAATGTAACATCAGAAAATGATGTCATACTACAGGAAAAAGATGGAAAAAATCCAAAAGGGAAGACTGTATTATGAGCACAGGCTCACGGACTTTATGAGATATCTAAAATAAATTACTATTCACATTTGTACATGGCAAGCAGCAATAGCTGCTAACCCCCCTGCTGTTAAATAGTATGATACTGACAATGATAATTGATGACTGATTTCAGAAGAAAACAACACTGGCAATGGAAAGTTCTTAGAAATGGGCTCTTGTTCTGGCTGAAAGTCTCCACTGAATTGTAATCATGTTTACAAAGAAATTTAGTCAAAAATTGACAAAAGAAATATTGTCCTCTATAGCACAAGATTTTAACTGGTGCTAAGCATGGGGCTCATAATTTAATATTCCAACTACATTTATTGTGGAATGTTTTGCTTGGCAGAGTAAGTGAATGTCTATATACAATGGACAGTGTGTAGAAACCCTGTATATTTTTATCAGTATTTTACTCAGTCATCCATAACACTCTAGTGCAAAAAAATTGTGCATTAACATTTTGCAATATAATGGTTGATTGGAAAATTGGTAAACTGCCCTATGTATGAGATACACTGCAAATTTCTTTAATTTTAGTAAGATTTCAATGGTAAAGCATTTGCAGGTGTATGCAACCCCAAGGAAGGTCGTCTTCTCCTTCAAGAGAGCTTTATTTCTTCAGAGTATTCCACGGCATAATCTGTGGTGCTATCATTTGTCACAGTATTCAAAGGATTTATCCAAGTGCCCAGAAGAATGCATTGAAAGGCATCCAGCCACATACAAATATGAAAGTCTGAGGCATTAAATATGACAAATTGGCATGACTTGGCAGTCTTCCTCAAAGTGTGCCTTGATTTGAAGCAGATGCAGCCAGGCATTTTGATCCAACTTTAAGATGAAAAAATATTCTTTGTCTGATCCCCAGAAGACTGACACGTTTTTACCAAAAAATTTAGCTGCATGTAGGCTGACAGAAGATGTTAACGATTACAGCAGCGAAGCCAAGAGAAGAAGGGAAACTGGTATATGGCACCAAAGGAATTACTGCTTGTCCATCAGAGGTATGGCTATGAATCAGTCATATTGGGCACTGAAGGCTATACCACTGTACAAACTGTGTTCAGAGTCGTATCAAACCTCACAGCCTTTGCCTCTGTGGGTTTTAAGTTTGTATCATACATGGGATTTTCAAACGAAGCCTGTCCATTACTGTTTTCATGTCCAGCATACCCATTGTACTGTACTTTTGGTCTTGTTCTGGGAAAAAAAGACAGGAAATTATAATCAGTAGCTATTAAAAATAAATATTCTACAATTATTGCAAGTTTTATCTATAATATTTCCATGCTGTCTATGCAGGTTGCATGATTCTGTCTAAAAGTGATAAAAAGAGGCCATAAAAGATGTTTCAGGGACTTTAACAAAAATCTGTCTGGTAGTTATTTTTCACAGCATGAAGAGAAGAAAACAAATTCCTAATGAGAAAACTGATGCTATAAAGTGCAGAAGAAATGTAGGCAAAATATAGGTGTGCATTTTTCATTATAACAATGTCAAAAGAATGAAAACTTCATAGCTTGTTGTTAGTGCCAAAATTGGCAGTCAGAAGTAAAGCAACATACAACAAAAGTACAAAAAAATAAAGTTGGAACTGAAAACACGTAGAATATTTTCTATCAGTAGTAACAATTATGATCTTTTCTCATGACGTTTTCAGGTTTAGATTGCTATTCTGACCATAAAAGAATCCTTACACAGAGTGAAAATACTTATTGTAGCTTTATTAAATTAACACCTTAAAAATTTCCAAATATACACATCTTTTTCTTTCTAAAGTATTGATAATAATGTAAAAAATACAGTAGCATCTTTATTTGGTGAATTTAATTTGATCAGCATATGCTAATTAACTTTCCTGGAGATCTGGGATTTTACCCACACTAATTTTTACAGTATACCTAGGAACGCAACTGGACCATCTGTGCAAATGTTCCAATGAAGATCAACACAAATTGTTAACTTAAAAGACAGGAAAATGGAGTAGATGACTAGGTGTGCATAGAAAGATGAGACTGAGTGACTCCTAATTCAACCTTTCGATAACATCTTGGATTTCAGATGAGATAAACACCCATAGAGTTTATTGACTTACATGTTTTCAAGCAGAGGTAGAGGGAATGGTTTAGTAACTTGCTGCTATCAGCTGCTTGTTAACATTCCAGAGGAAGTTAGCATTGTATCATTGAAGTGCTATAACAGGTCTCCTGGGTGCTACCAAATCTAAGTCAGTGCAAAGTCAGCCAGCATTGCTTCAGTCAGGTAACACTTGCACAGACATAGAAAGTGTCCAGAATATGTTGCACTGCTAGTGGTAGTAACCTTCAGGTAATGGTCAGTAATTTCAGTTACTTCAGACAGATCTGCTTACCTCCATATATACTACCAGCAATAAACACTACTAAATACCTTGACATACATTTTATATGTCCAAACATATGTAATCAGATTGACCAAATCCTAGCTAATATTCATGAATTTTGACATTTGAATATCAGAAGATACTAAGAATTGTCTTTCAGTAACCACTTGTCTACTTTGGGTATTGATTTACCACAGTGAAGAACATACCAGCATTTCAAGGATGTTCACATTTTTATGCAAAGTTCTGCTAGAACTTAAGTCAATAATTAAATGAAAATTTAAACAGAATTGTGCAGACTTTCTGATATATCCAGTAAACTTATATCCTATTGTATTATATTTTACTACTTTAACTTTAAATCTCTTTGCATCCAAAAGTATCTAAATGAATATATAAAGGAGGTTCAGCATATAGTTTCATGTGTGTAATTAAATAAGAGCAAGAAAAACAACAAAGGCATGCAAAATATAGATACATGGTGCTTAATAAATGTAAAACAATTTAGAAAAATATCACATGATAAAGCTTCAGAAAAGGGTTCCTGAAAATCAAACTCTCTTTTAGAAAATGATTCTGTTTTGGATAGCAGATAGGGAAATCTATCACTGGAAAGATGTCAGTAATGGAAACTGACAATCTACAAATAATTCTGTTACTCATAAATATGTATTTTCCTGTGTATTTTAATTTCAGAGGTAACAAAACATGCTTAGAAACCTTAACTAGCAGCTTTCTTAAGTGTAAGTAATTAAATATATTTTAATTTTGTTCAGAAAGACTGAGATACTGTCTTCATTCCTGAAGCAATCCCTGTCTGTCAGATAAAAGGTACATAAACTGTGTAAAAAAAAAAAGGTTTAACAATGCACGTTTTAATTAGATTATATTATTCTGACATAGCACAGCAGAAACATCCATAAAATTGTCACCTAAGATGACCTTGAAATTCTGTGATATAGAGACCATCTAGGGGCATAACTACTACCGCATCATTGTGAAAATTTCATGTTGTTATTCTGGTTGTTAGGGTAATTCAAGAAAGTCCCTTCAAAAGTCACAGATTCTGTTCTGTTTCTGTTGGAAGATGTTTTGTTTTGAAGTGTGTAAAGGTGACCTAGAGTTACTTTATATCAGTAATCAACTTGTTAATTTTCTGATAACAATGTGACACTGACAATAACTCCTCTAAAAACTGTGGTTTAATTGAAGAAATTATTCAGAAACGTAAAAAGGTAAGAATATTATCTGAAAGATTAAGTTATGAGTAACATCTTTTTCAAGTACCTAATGCATTTAAACTAGATTAAGGTAGGCAGTACTGCAATGCTGCACCAGCAGCAACATAAACATTGAGAATACAGCTGTTTGTCTGAAGACTAAGTTTTATCTCTCTTAAGTATATATATAATTTCTACCAAATAGAAAACAGAATATCCACTGTTCATGCAGGACATAACAAGCTTCATAGAATAAACCACAAAATGTACCCCTATGTCACAACACAGTTTTATTTTATTTGTTTTTTAGTTTGTCTCTTATTTCTAAGAGTAAAGTGACAGCAATGTTCCTTTTATGTTCAATCTCTTCACCTGATCTGAATGCCTGTGCTTTCATGCTGCTATTTAGGGTCTCCCTCAATGCAGAACAGGAGCTATCTGAGAGTGTAAATATGTAGGCATCAGAAAAGCATCTTACAATAACAGGTTCTGAGACAAGCATTCAAAGTTCTTCCTGAGCAGTTTTTTCAACAAAATACTCTATTACATTTCAGGACATGTATAATTTTAACTTGAATTCACAAGTTCAAACCTCACTGCAATTTCTTTTTCCCAAATCATCTAATGCTGAGGTAGGTAGACAGTCCAGTCCATCACAGGGCAATGGTGGACATAATCTTGTCTATGTGATTTCTTACAATCACAAATACTCTTGGTATCATGGTTACACAACAATTTTAAAAGCATATTAGTAAAAATTAGCATTTCTGTTAAACACCATTTTGTAAACTCCATATAACACAAGGAGGTCAGAGAGCATTGTAGCTCAATATAAAAATTAATAGTTCCAGAAGACTCTAGTCAAATAGCTCTCAGAATGAACAAAGGTTCAAAAGTTACATAGATATAAGCTTTTAAATCAAATTTCAGACAAGATGGTTTGATTTATCCTATTATCTAATGAACTGTAAAAGTTTCATACAATCTGAAGTGATGCCCATTATAGTGGTATCTACTAGCTTATTCAGCATGTACTATAAGTAGTCTCATTATGGGCTGTTCCTTCATGGGATTTATGGATTTTTCAGCTGGTATAATTAATACTCATAAGCATTTAGAAAGAAGCAGCATACATTCAATTTTATAAAGCATTAAAATGAAAGAATAAAACACGTGAACTGAGATTTCAATCTGGTTCAGCCTAATGAACTAGAAAGGTTTATAGGTCTTTGCTCCTTAACACAGTGACTCATTTTTCAAACTGTTCACCATTAAGAATAGCCCTGTCCTGAACCCCTTCGTGGGAATACTTAAAAATATTTGTCTTTCAAAAGTAAAGATATTCTTGAAAGCTTTAACATTGTGTTCTTTAGTTACACTTACCTATCAAAATATAAGCAAAAAGCTTATTAAGTTACTTAACAAACAACATTTACAATACCTGTGTTTGTAGAGGTAAAATGCAAACCCTGATAATATTAGAGCAAAGAATGGTACCAGGATGGCAGCTGCAACAGAACTGCTGTTTGTACCATAATAGTGATTTGAAAGGTCTGTGTCTGCACTTAAAGGACCTGAAATGAAACAAAAAGGACAGAAATAAGACTTCCAGGGTTTCCTTTTCACAGTTCTCTTTTTATGCAAGAATGAAAGAAAATGGTATCTTGACAAAATAATTATATTTTAAAGCATGAAATAAATAGTGCACAGTATCACAGTATAAATTTTGTTAATATCACTTAATAATGTATCAGTAACTACCAAAATTATTTGAAAACAGTATTCAGCATGAAAATAATTATGAACTACACCTCTCATGAGTCATAATTTAATAAAATTAAGCCTTTTAACTTCTTTAAAAAATTGTTGATACTGCAAAAAGAATTCTATGCTTGCAGCCTTAATATTCAGCTGAGAAGCAACAAACAATGATACCAAATCAGACATGAAGAAGGATGAGAGGACTGAGGTAACTGCAATAAACCACAGTGGTTCTGCTCAGTTTGATAGCACTCCTAAGGCTGTGCACTTGTGTGCATGTACTGCTTCTCAACCTGCTTTTAGGGGTGAGACATGAGCATGTTTTAGAAGCTCTAGCAGCTGTGTTTGCACTGGGATTAAACTGAGGTGCAGACAATGCAGAAGTGGTCACCTGTGTCATGGCCTTCCTGGGTTCCTGTTGTGGAGGAGCAAATAACTAGAACTGTAAGGCATTTTGTGGAACCCATTTTTCCATCAGTATAAGGGAAGATATTGCTAAATTGGTTAAAGATGTGGCCAACTTGCCAATTCAAATTGTGAAGTATGAAAAATAATTTAATGGTAAAAAATAAAGAAAATTTTAATAGAAAAAAAAATACTTTAGGAGACAACTCCATGTTACCAGTTTGAACTCATCACTCTTCAGAGAGCAATATATAGATCCTATCAAAGGAGGAGAGACCACAACAGAGGGAAAGTACAGTGAGGATGGGGCTGGGACAGATATCTGGGCTTGCTATTCTGAGATATTTGTCTGAACACTCAAGGTGTAAAAGGCCTTTTGACATAAGTTTATATATTTGTACTATATTGCACTGGTACTGGACATTCTCCAATCAATCTAAATTATAGACAGATAGAATCAAGTAGTTGCCACAGTCAAAAAAGTTTAAGAAATGTTAATTTAAATGGTCCTTTGAATTTTTTGTTGATTAAAAGTGATATTAGTTTAAAATTTGCATGCAGTTATCACTGTCTTCATCATTTACTGTCACAATCTCCAGCTGTTTTTCCAATTATTTGGAGTAATTAATAAAATATATGGTAATGACTGTATTCAGTTCATGAGAGCAAAAAACAGGAATTAATATTATGACTCTTGAACTTCTAACCAAGTACCGAAGCCAACAGAAATATGTATGGTCAATAAACTCTTAATTTATATCTCAAAGCTGTTATCAAGGCACATATGATAGACACATTTTAATGTATAAGTAGCAGAAAAAATATAAAATATCTAATCAGAATGCATCTAAAAATAGTAGTTTGAAATTCATAATAAGCAATTTTTCGTATGATTTTTTTAAAAATTAAATATTTTTTGTGCAACTGAACATTTAAAACTAGGTGTAAACTTATATTTGCATAATTTCTTCTTAAACTGTCTCAGATAACTGACTCACATTTAATACTTAGTACTCAAAACTCCCACAGGAGATAACTGAATATTTTATATCTCTACAGCTTTTAAAGTACCATATTTAGAGTAACCAAACTTAAAATTTTTAACTGAAGTTTCTAACCTGTAATTGGCATTGGAGAAGAGTTGACTAGGTTTGGACTGTGTATTGGGTGTGTTTTTCATTAGGGAAGAGAAACTTTGCTGCAATTCTGGATAATTTGTATTATATTAATGTATGAGACTCAATATAACTTCAACACAGTCTGGTCTATTTATTACAATCATTTTCAGAGCTGTTTGTGAGTTTGTGATTAAACATATCCTGATGTGAACTTTGTATTTCTTCTGACAACATTATCATGATGAGAAATGGGAAAGCCTGTTGTGCTGCTGTAGTTTAGGTATTGATTGCTACCAGAGCTAAAACTAGAAAAATGGAACTATCTGCATGCTAATAGGAAAGGAAAAAAAAGAAAAAAGTAGTCTGGTTTACTCATTTAAACAGCCATATTTTGTGACTGAGAAACATACTATTTAATAGACAGATAATCAGTAAGATTATAAATGTTTTCTAAAAAACATCTAGGTCAGATGAAGTTTGAATTCTGGTAACACATAGTGAAGTCTTTATTGTGCAAGCTTTGTACTTCTACCCTTTAGATGGTTACTGAGTTTTCTCCTTTCAAGAACCTGTGATGGCTGGAAATTTGCTGTTTCCTTTTAGCTGTAGGTTCTTCAAAAGAAAGCAAGCAATCAATAGAAAATCAGTGCACAGTTTCTGCATCAGTAGCAAGCTCTCTGCTGAGATATCAAAGCTGAAGACGAGAGGCTCTCAGCCTTGGAATGCATGTGCAAGCTGGACACTTCGGCTCCTTACTAGCCTTGGAAATGTACAATCTGAGCTCTCATAATGCAACTTTAAACAATGATAAAGACAATGTTTTTCACTACTGTAGAATATATCCTCTGGAGAATGCTGTAACTGTTGAATTGTCATTCTGCTTGTTCTTCATTTACCTCCATGAGTTATTCATTTCAGTGCTAGAACACATGGATTCAAATTTTATTAGGTAGCTGTCAAACCATGGATATCTTTTTTGTCCTAGCTTAAGAAAATAACCCACAAAAACATATACACCCCTCATACAAAACCAATAGAACCATACTCTTACTGGCTTAAGATATCAAAGGCTGCTAAAAAAGATGGATGTTTGAACAAAACTTGATGCTCTGCTTTTTACCATGTGCTTGTTAAAATCGGAAAGAAAAAGCAGCTGAGATATTATAGTGATAAGGGCTACACGAAAGTACAGGCAGACAAATAATCTGTCCCACATAAGAGTTTACCCTGAAGACTGAAATTGTATTCAGCTTCACTAATCGGCAGTTATTAGGCTGAGACTCTGAAGAGTAAGGTTTCCGCCCCTTGTGACTAAGCATAAATAGCAATTTGAGAGGTGGCCAAGATTAGCAAATCCAGAAGATAACCATTATTACAGCAGTTAATAGAGCAGAGAAATACAAGGGAGATTTGATACAACTTTAAAGGGGCATTGGGTACAGCACTGATGACGTTAACAAAACCAAGGCTTAATATATATATATATATGTAAAATATAGATACAGTCTGCTATATATATGTTGGCTAGGCTGTCTCCTCCTCCTAGTCCAGTACTTTGCTGTATATTTACTCTGCTTCAACCATTCTGCAGTAGTTCCAGGATCAGGAAACACAGATGTCCACACCTGGTATTTGCCAAAACTATTTAATGAGTAAATATTTTATGAGTAAGTGTCTTATTAGTTTTTACTAAAAAATATTTTATTAGTAAAATAACCAATTTTTCACCAGCTGCTGAAGCACTCAAATCCATAGCTGTAATATATACTTCAGTTACTCATTTCCTATTTTGGGCAGCAAAGTAGAATTCCATCCAAATACATATACATTCTAAAACCATCCACCAGCAACAAGCATTCTCTAAATGACATTCTTAAAATCAGTGTTGGTTTTGTCATTTTAATTTCCTATATGATTATGACTGCAATTTATACATTTGAGCAGAAAATGTCTCTGCATTGTATGACATTCCTGTTAGTTTCAAAAAGACATTCACAGAAAAGCAAGCATCTCTTCTTTAAAAGAGATTCTCTTTAAAAGCAACCTGTAGTCATCTTATTAGGTTGCTATACTAGAAAACATGAGATAGTAACACGTTAAACAGATTTAAATTGGGATTTGAATTACATATTTCAAATATGCATATTTCGCTATATTATTATAATAACAATGGCATGAAATAAACATGATTAATTCATCTAGATAGCCGTTTCATTTATTGAATTCACTCTTGCAAGACCCAAAAAGACTATAGAAGTTAAAGCTCTAGGAATGCATTTACCTTGTCTTTGGAGCATAAATTTTCCAAAGTCTTTTCCATGTATATCACCTTGAAAGGTAAAAACACCTCTTTCAAGCCCTGATGATACCTAGAATATGTTGAAACAGAAAAAAGATTTCTGAAACAAAGAAATAAGAATGTTACGTTCTTGGTTTTTATGACTTAGAGTAGATATTTGGAGTCCAGATTTTCACTTTTCTCCTTTAAATTATCAGTGAATTCTCTATGCTTATACAATATTTATAATTTTAAGTTTGAAGTGGTATTAAACAAAGTTTCAGAGCAACACCCGGAATGACTTTGAAATATCTGAGGTATATTACCGGATTTTAAAATTTTTCAACTGGCATACACATAATTAATTGGTACATAGATACAGAAGTCCACTGAATTCTCAAATTTTAAATTATTTTCCATAGAAAGCACCATGAGGCACAAAAGAGAACTGCAAAGATTAAAATAACTCTTTTTTTTCCAAGCTTAAATGTAATTTTATTACAGTGAACTATTTACCAAACCACAAAAAAGGATATTGCTAAAGGTAAAATTCCCACTCTCATCTAAGAAAACAAGACAAAAACATGGCAAAATATGCTGATTCACTCCACCTTCCTCTTAGTAAACTATACATTCTAATGAGAGTGTGGCAGGTAGAATTTTGTATACATATTTTTGAAAAGAAAATTAATGTGATCTCTACACTGACATCTAGAGTGCTATATTCCATATTTGCAACAGAAACGTTGGATAGAGTTATATAGGTGGCCTGGTTTGAGCTAAATAGAACTAATTTTCTATTTAGTGATTTTACTTTTCAGCTCAGTCTCTTCTAAGTGGCTGAAGTTGCTGAAACCAGCAGCATGTTTTTTCCAGTATGTGCTGCTAGAAACTGATAAGCTCAAGGCCAATTGTCTCACCATGGGTGCCGTGTCTGCACCTACAAGGGAGAAGTGGACCCAAAACTGACCAATTATGTATTCCATCCCACATATGTCATACTCGGTATAAAGCCGAGGGATCACGAGGGTCTCGACCCTTCTATCTTGGAGCCCTTCCATCTGTCTTGATCCTGCAATGGCCAAAGTCCAAGCAGAACCCTGCTAGTTCATCTGCCTCTGATCCTGATTTGTGTGTTCTGCATCCTGCTCCCACCTGCTGCTGAGTCCAGACTGGGACTTTCCCAGTGCCTGACTCCACAGAGCCTCTGGTGATGTAATCGTCATTGGGGGAAGGTGGTGGGAGGATTTTATACTGGTTTTGTATATATATTTGTACATATGTGTATACATTTCATTATTTTCCTATTTACACTATTATTCTGTAGTATTAGTATTATTGTTTTAATTAAATCTGTTAGTTTTATTTTCCAACCCATAAAGTCCCTCTCCCTTATTCTCTTTTCTCTTCCCTTTTGGGGAATGGAGAGGGGTTAATAGAGAGTGTTTGCCCAGGATTTAGTGGCCAGCCCAGCCCTAAACCAGGACAATAGGCAATCACAAATGACTTCCACTTTTAAACTCAGCAAGCTTTATCCATAGCAGTCTGGTTACTTACATAACCATCTAGCGCCCAGTTGTCGTTTTCAAACTTGCTTACAAAAATGTCACTAGGTCCTTTAATCTGAAAAACTTTCAAGAGCAAGTGGGCTTCTTCTTTCTTGTAAACACCTATTAAAATAAAGGAGGTAACAAATGCCTTTTAAACAATTTCTCAATGACTTTGTTCAAACATAATTTTAAAGCTTAGTATATTGTTTTAGAATGAAAATATTTTGTAGAAAACATTCTGTAATAGCAGAATTTAATAACCTGGAAAAAGCAAGATCTAAACTGCTGTAATCTTCTTTTTACTTAAGCACAAGATACAAAGATAGTTTTGTACTGTTTAATTTTATACATAATTGGGCAAGAATATTTGTCTTTTCATACAAGAATTCAATAATTCTGAATACAGACAGAAATCCTTGCCTGGAAGTTACCTGAATCAGAAAAAAATTGTATTTTACTCACATCCCAACAGTATATTGCTATAGTGAATATTGATACTGCCATGAATGAAAATTTGCTATTTGGCAGCCAACTACTGAAATTCTCTCTGAACTCTTGACCTTAAAATGTACTGATAGTTGATAATGCTCTTTTCAGATATAACTGTGATCAAAGGCTAAATCAGTACTTCGCAGTCAGATTTGCAGAAAAGAATGCACAATGTTGATTAAAATGTGTGCATAATTTACTGAGTTATTTATCTGTGCCTATTTTGTTGTCATTATCAAGACCACATTGTTTTAAAGCAGATATTAATCACTATCGAATAATAGAGCTTTTCAATAGTACAGTTCTTTAAAATTCTATATACACTTCATCTGCCACTTCAATATTACCTGTGAGTTCAACACATCAATACTGTTCAAAAGTCTGAGTTGAAAAACACCTACCTCAATATTTATTTGAAATGAAAGAGGAAAACAGACGGGTGACTGAATATAAATTGACTGAAATTTGTGCAGATCATTACATTAGGACCTTTCCTTTAGCAAAATAAGCAGAAAATTGTTTTTATTGAAAACATAAAGTTTTAGTTTCATTTTTTGTTTGGCAGAAAATATAACAAAACTGAACAGATGAAAAAAATTTAAAAAGCAGCTTTTTTAACGCCAAATTCTGAACCTACCTGATAGTTTCAGTTGTATGTTGGATGTCTCAATGAATGTGGCATTCACTTTGCTGCTTGTAGTGTTGAACCAATCAACAGTCAGAGTAGCAGGCTGCCTTTTTCCTAAATACTCATAAAACCCTTTCCACAGCGAATTTATAAAAAACACATCTGAGGGAACTAAATAGAAGTAGGCAAAAAAAAGAAACAAAGAGAGAAGTAAACTACAACAAAGTAGCAATCTTTCTAGCCATATTTGTGATATTCATTTTTCCTGTTAGAGCATTAATTCACTGTTCTAAGGAGGTATGATAGTAAGAATTTTACAACAGTAAAGACAGTATATCTAATGACCTTTCCACACAATTGCCTATAATATAATACACCTGTTCATTACAATATATGTTCTTAAATAACCTCACACTTCATAGCTTGTGTGCTTCAGTAAATGTTCTCAAGACTATAAAAAATAATGGACTCTTCCCCTAAAGCGCAGTAGCTGTAGAGTATGATGAAAAAAAAGAGAATAATATTCTGAAGTCAGGGTTTCCTGAAAGCAGATACTGTCCTAGGCCATCCCTTTTGTTTCATGTATCTGTTAAAGCTACACTGTGTGTGTGATTTAGAACTGAATATCAACTGAATATTCAACTGAATGCACTGAATTCCAGATTCAGGTAAACACAAGTCTTTTTATCAGTCATTTTTAGACTCCTCATCTATATGAAGATAAAAGAAGTCTATGTATTTCGGTCATTTGTTTGTTGTTATTGGTATTTTTCCTCTATACAGAACAATAAAATATTTATGGATCATTAAATGCTGTATTTTAAATATGTGGCTAAATCACTGACAGAGTAGAAAAAGTCTCTTACTCTGCGATATTCACATTAATTAAAAAGGAAACACAGAAGAGAAAAGTTCTTAGAAGATTGTGTCAGATACACTTACAGGGTGCTACGTCTTGAACATTTATTTCTCCCCTACACATTGCTATATTTCTCCCACATACTTTGTTATTATGAAATCGGGGAAACAAGTCCCTCAAACATGACAGTTAAAATAAAGAAACAGTTAAGCTGTCCAAAAGAGACCAGCCCTCCTCCTGGCCAGGCAGCATCCAGTGTTTCCTGGCAGCCTCTGACAAGTAAAAATAGTTATTTTTCCACTTAGAACTAAGCTATGTCTAGCGCTACCGTTTGAGAAGTAAAACTTTAAGAATCAAAATAAAACTTCATAAAAAGAACTGTTCAACCCATCAAATATATTGATAAAATGACAGCCTTACCAACTACTAAAATTCAAACGCAGGTCAATAATACTGTGTATTTCCAATAAAACATACTGACAGGCAGTACATCCGAAAATCTGATGACTGGTTAGCTGGTGACTGTCTCTTAATTATTACACCTACTAGTACACAATTCTTATAGAGGAAGAATAATAACTTCTTCAGTGCCTTTTGCCTTCAAATTGTGCAAAAGTCACAAGCAAATGTCCAAACTCAATACGGCATGATTTGAAAACATCATTACTATATTGCCTGTACCACCACTGGATTCCAAGTGAGTGGAGACTCGCTACATGTCTTTGAGACACCACCTTCAAATAATCCTAAGTGCTTCCTTCCCAAAGCAAAACTCAGTGCAGGACTGGGGCTTTACATAAGGTAACATCAACTTGATACTAAAACTCTGAAGCATTTTAAATACTATCTCATAGTCCTTAGAATTTTCTGCAAATACATTAATTCTGTAAAGGGTCTTTCAGACTCTTTTTCTTACATATTTCTCATTGCTTTGCTGCAATAGCGACATACAGTAAATTTGAAACGTGCACTTAAAATTATGTTAAAATTATTTTTATTCATCCTTGCTTTTAATTAAAATTTTGTGTGTGAAGTTATTCTCATGAAGGTTAACATCTAGTATTACTGGTATGAACATGGCAGGTACTATGTAAAACTTTACAAAGGAGTAAACATCATTCATACTTCTTTTATCACATCCGACACCTTCAGTATCTAGTTTCTCTAACCACTCTGTCAATAATAGCTGTTAATCTCTGCAAAATAGTACCATTGAGTCAGTATTTACAGAATTTGCACGTGCTGCAGATGGACTGAATCAGTAAAGGAATAAAAGAGCAAAATATATTTCTGCTTCCCCAGCCGTGTTTTTGTAAAAGGTTAAAATGCAAGTGCTGCAGTTTCATGGATGCTGCTGAGGAACTGGAGTGGCTCTGACTCAACTCTGCCAAGCCCTTACACTGTTTCTTCCTTTCCCACAGACTGTGAGCAAATGCAGAATGAGGAAATGAGCTGATGGTTTTGTACTAATACTGCAAATTTTCCTCAGAATATGACAATTGGGGAAATCCATGGCTACACATTAAAATATCTTCTGAACTATTTTTGCAAAGACTATACAAAGTAGTGAAAACCATGAGAACCAGAGTATTGTAGTTCTTGACCTTCTCAGGGTATTGTGAGAATGCTTTAGTTGCAACTTATACTTAATTACAGTTTATCATACTGTAAAAATATATTATTGCTTATGAAAATATTAACTCTGGCAAAAACAGTCATTTAATAAACAATAAAAAAAATAATTCTTATTCTGATATACAAAGGTGGAAAATCAAAACATTCTTCTATTCTGTTACAAAAACTCTAGTTCAGCAATATTAGCTTCATCCCATTTAAAATATAAATAGTAGCAAATTTAATTCTACTAAAAGCCAGCATAATAAGGTGAAGAAAATTCTCCAAAATACATAGTGTAAGATAATAAAGAGAATTCACAATATTAAAAGACATAACAATAGTGCAGACTTGGTTTTTTAAAATAGCTTAAAATTTTCCTTTGTTAATTACTGGCATTTCTCACACAGTTTCATTTCTCTGCTTACCACTACTGGCATTTGCAATCATCACATTTCGCTTTTTTTTCAAAAAAATGCCTTCCAAATAGTATTTACTTATCTAAACTAGTTATAAGGGACATGATGTGGTGTGAATCGACACTGATGTTCTGCATAGCAAATGTATTTGGAGACTTGGTCTGTATTTTAATTTGGCATTGAAACTTCAAAACCTGTGTGGTAGCAGATTAATGTATACCTTAGGTGTTCGGTGAGGTGAATCCTCCAATAAATGAAGATTGTATATTAATTATAATAAATGCACATTATATCCTGCTCTATCGTGAGTCTGTAGAAAGAATGCATTTTAGAAGAACTCATTTATGTTTTCACCTGACACTCTCACTAATAAACTAACCAGGAAGGTTAATTATTAACAGAAATACCTTTTTATTCCATCTATTCTACAGAGTCCTCCTGTGAGCAGTCATGAGTGTGAACCATTAATCTTATTTTTCCTGCAGCTTGCTATAATTCAGAACATAGAATTGCAAGCTCATTTATTTGGTGAAAACTCTGCTCATCGTTAAATAAGTCAGCTAAAAAAAAAAAGGTCTTTCATTTTCTGAAAATGATTGAACCTAAAAAGATCTACATCAAGGATTTCTCAGGTGTATTTGCCTATTTTGTCATTGTCAGGAGGAAAAGGTTAAATGGACACATGTTCATGAGGAAGCATAGGAAAGCAGCAGTAATGTTTGCCTAATGACAGTCCACACAGTTTGGGGAACCCTATCTTAGAGCACTTTGATAGTTTCCATGAAATGAAGGACATCAAAATTTCCAAAACTGGTTTTCTAGCTTGTTACCTTTTTTGTGTGGTTTCTTACAACTCTTGCAATGTAAAGGGCAGAACTTTGACTAAACCAAATCCCTAAAATTATAGTCTTCACTCATTATAAGGCTCTCCATTATAGCAATCTCTCTGATATAAAACTACTTCAAATCTGTTTGTTATGTATATATGCTTCATCTTTTTTGTCTTGACAAGGGTTTTTGTGCAATACACAAAATTAGTACCGTAGAAATTTTAAAAATGTTGTTTGGGAAAGCATTTCATAGAATAGGATTTACATGGCACCTGTTATTATGACAGATCTCAGTATTCATATTCCTCTGAAATGAGCAATAAAATCAAGTTAAATATTGGAAATAGATTTATTATCCATAACAATCTAGGATGTAAATCAATTTAATTTATTTAGCTCTAAAACTCTTGTATACAAACCTGGAGTTTTAGTTATTGTTTCATTAACTTCTCTCACTCCTTTACCTACAAGTAAAAAGACAAATTATCATTTCCATGAACATTTTTTTAAATAGTATGTTAAAACAATGCCTGATGGATGCAAACATCTCTTATCCAATAGAGTCATATTTAAAACAGAAATAACTAGTCTTGAAAACCTTAAACGTTCAAATCTATACACACAACTATCATAAAATAATTTAGGTAAACAACATTTTTACTGTGGAAAGTCATCTGGCTAGTCAAGTATTGCATACATTTAGGCCTACAATTTTTATATCAGTCCCAGTGCTATAAAAGAGAGCCTTATAGAGGGGATGAATACTAGATCTAATTATGAATAATGGATTATTAAATATAATAAAAATTGTGTTAATGAAGTTTGATATATTTATGACACAAACCGGCAAAAGCCAGATAGCTGGATTAAGATGACATGATCAGATATCATGGGAAAGGATCACAACTCGTGTCATTTGCTGTATTTCTGGTAAACTTAGCAAAGTTATGTCCATTGACCCCAGATCAAGTTCTGGCCTCATATCATTAGGAACTTTAAAAAGACTAATGTCCCACAGGAAGATTCAGTCTTGCATGCTTTTTTTCTTTAGGAGCAGAAATTTACTGATCAGACTGATCAAATGCTAAGAAAGCACAAAAAGTGTGGAGCACTCAAGGATAATTATAACTAAAGACTGTAAGACAATAAAAAAATAATCTTGCTTATAGAAACATTTACTGTATTTTATATTTAATCTTTTTAAAAATCAAGAAAAAACCTGTATAAGAACATTTATCTCAAATTATTACTTATATAGTACCCATGAAAAATCACTCTTTAGGGAACTAGATAAGAAGATACATTTTTATGTGTAGATCATACATCTTGAGAATGTTGAAAAAAGATGTCTATCTATACAGTAATGAAAAATCAAATATTGTTCAAACATCAACTCTAGTGTTCTTTGACATATTAGAATTAAAATCATGTTGCAAACATCTTTCCCATGGTATCTGAATATTTTTCCTTCTATTCATATTCTAAATGTAGTTTTGTCTTATTTTTCTGAATCAGGAACTTAACAGCCATGTTTATTCACATGTGAAGAGCAAATTTAGCCCTCATAAGTTTATCCTTAGAGCTAATCTAGCAAAACTACATAAAATTTACATGAATATAAGTAAAGTGGAGTCTGGTGCAATGATGTATTTATTTCTTTATTTTATTGTTCCTTTTTATTTTTGAAAATTTTCTTAGACAAAAAGCATACCTGAATGAATCAAAAAATCTTGTTCCTGATAGAAAATCATACATCGAGCACTGAATACATTGAAATACTGTTTAAAACCATGACATAAAGATAAATACATTTAAAAGTAATACTTTACATTGTTTAGGTTTTGGTTGCTGCTGTTAGGGGTAAGTGTATATATGTATGTCTGTACATTTACACTTACATAGTCCCATGTTTTCTACCATGAGGTCTAGACACTATGAACACTTTGATTTTTTTCTGTTTCTTTCATGAAGCAAAAGCTGTTCTGTCATATATATTTTAAAATATTGAGTGGAAAAAAATAATCCTACTATATAAAATAAAAATGACAGGGAAAATGAAATCCAACAAAGTAGGGCCCAGCATATCACTTGAGTAATGACTTACTTTTACAAATAGGTGATTTTCCTGTCCATTTCATATCTGGTTTACATGTTCGATGTTCTGATCCACCAGCAAGAAAAAATCCTGGCTGACAGGTATACACCAAAGTATACCCTAAAGTAGGAAGATCTATTGCTTTCACATCTACATGTGCCGGGGTCTCTGGCTGCCTGCAAGCATGAGCTGCAAAGGGTTTCTTAGAGTTAGAAAAAGTGGTGATAAACAGTTTCTTTAGGATTAGAGTACGTAATGGGAAATAAAGGCATGAAAAATTCCCTTTCATTATGTAAACTTTGTACATGATTTAGAAATGTCAACTGGCTATTACTTGTAAAAATAACACTCTATACTTATAAGATTGTAGGAAGATAAAAATTATACTATCACATATTTTTAAACAATGCACCAAAATTCCATCATGATAACAAACAGAAAAGAGTTAAAATGAAGGGAAGCATATGCCACTGTACAGGATGCAATTATTCGTCCTGTGAATTATTGTACTGTCACAGCTTCAAGCATCACTTCCACTCAATGGTTTCAAAAGTCTTGAAAATTACAGAGCAGTTATTGTGCTAAATAAATTCATTATAAATTTCAATTGAAATAAAAGTTCCATAGGAAGTCTTTGTCACAGTACATTGATTATAAGAGGTATGGTTGCTCAGTATGCTTCTTTCTTTGTGCTCCATGGTGTACATTTATAGTGACCCAAAGATAATTTGTAATAGGATAAGAATCTAAGGTCATTCTAATGAATTACTTTTACTGTAGAGCAGTGTATTTTAACACAATAGTTTTTTGATGTCCTCCAACCTATACAGAGTTATAAATACACTAATCATTTGCATACTCATGCATAGCCCAGAAAATATGTTTTGTTGGCTAGTATTTTGTGAATCATAAACAGCCCCATGCATACTTCAGGTCACTTTCTGTTCTCTATTAATCCAACACACACACAAAACCTAGATTAATTTAAAGCAGCTAATGCAGTGGTTAATGAAGACAGACTTTCTGAATAAAACTGATAGAACTATTGTGAACTTCATGAAAAAAACCCTGTAATATCTTGTTTCAAATTAATATCCAAAATACATATTTGTTCTTAGAATGTGAAATGAAAAACATTTTAAAATACTGTTTTAAATAAAGTATATATTTTTTTAGCATATAATTTGCTATGAATCTCCATGTGCATCACTTTATAACTCTTTTAAAACTGCACAATGTTCTAACTCATTAGATAAGAAACCAGACTTACGAATGCATTCAGACTGTATGCCACTCCATGTTAGGTTAGCAAGACAAGAACGGGTGGTAGATCCCTGAATATGATAACCTTTTCTGCACCTGAAAAAGACTGTGCTCCCAACCTAAAGATCAAAACAGAATGTTAGAAAAAAGAGGTATCCATCGCATGTAGTCAGATATCAAAACAGTGATAAGCTACTGAAGAGATTTTTTAAAAAATAAAGTGTCCTCTTTATAGAGTTTCTGGAAAGAAATATTTTTTTAAATGAGATCAGAAGTTTAATAAACTTGAAAGCAATAAGTGGAAACACTGATGAGGCTGTGCACATGGAAAAGAACGATAATCATACATTTCAGCTTATTAGTTTGTCAGTGTGGCAGAAGCAAACTAAATGACTGAGATGTCTTTTTTTTTTCCTGTACATCACTGCATATGTTTCAATAGAACCTGACCATAGTCTGTTTCAAAGATTTCTCATTTTGTGAATAATTTTTTTTGAAGGTAAAAAGGAAAAAGAAAAAAACTATGAAGAACAATCTAGAAATAAATTCACTAGAGAAAACTACAAGCACAGTTCCTTACACTGCGTTTGTTAGTATAAAATGCCTAAGTTTTACTTCCTATGATGAAGTATGATATACCTTTCTCAGAAGAAAAGGTAAAGTAACTGAGAAAACTCTCTTTAGACTACCACTGAGAATAGAAAAGCATGAAAACTGGATATAAAATTGCAAGTGATGAAGAATTTTCATAACATACGAGAGAGAGATTGTATAGAAAGTACTAGTAAAATGGACTTATTGGTGGTATTAACAAAAGTAACCAGAATACAACTCTAGGCCAAGATATTTAAGGATGTGGAGTTGACCAGTAAAGCATTACTTTTGTTTTGGATAGAACATCTTGACAACAAATATGATCAGGTGAAATGAAAAACACCGGAGGCATTTGTAACAGTCACAGTGAAGCACAAAAGACACAATATGAATGGGACAAGACAGGATGCTGGTAGATAGGAGAAAACCCTTCAAAGGTCTGCTGCCTGTCATCACACCTTTCTGTAATGAGGAAAGACTGTTAAAAGCTTATCTAAGTCATACAAAGAGAAAGCCCTGCTAATCCCATATGCCAAAAAGAAAGATCTACTTCACCAGTAAGTCTACATCTTGTGTTATCAGATAGATGTGAGAGTGAAACACTGGAACAGGTTTGCTGACAGGACTTGTGATCCCTGTGGGGGTCCTATGATGGAGTAGTTTGTTCCTGAAAGACTGCACCCCATGGAAAGGACCCACACTGCAGCAGTTAATGAAGAACTGAAGTCTATGGGAAAGACTCATGTTGAAAAGTTAGTGGAGAACTGTCTTCTGTGGCAGGGGCACCATGCTGAAGCAGAGGAAGAGAGTCAGAAGTCCTCCCTCTAAGGAGGAAAAAGTGGCAGAAACAACATGTGATGAACTGACCTCAAATCCCATTCCCCATCCTCCTGTGCTGCTCGAGGGAGAAGGTAGACAATTCAGGAGTTAAGCCCAAGAAGAAGAGAGGAGAGGGAGGAAGGTGTTTTAAGATTTATTTTTTATTTTTTCACTATCCTACTCTGATTTGATCAGTAATAAATTAAATTAATTTTCTCCAAGTCAGGTCTGTTTGTCTTGTGACAGTAACTGGCAAGTGATCTCTCCCTGTCTTTATCTCAACCCACGAGCATTTTGCTGTATTTTCTCTCCCCTGTCTAGCTTTGAATCAGGAGTGGTAGAATGGCTTTGGTGGGTACCTTGCATCTAGCCAGGGTCAACCCAACACAGATATACTTGAGAAAGACCAACAACAGAACAGATGAAGACTTACTATTACCTCTAGAGGTGAATGAGAAGAGAAAATTAACAGACATTAGAACAGTGAATTGGCCAGTACAATTCTGGTGATAAAGACAATTTGTGAGACAGATAAAAGGAGGAGAGAAAAAACACCCAAACCCCTGATCAAATTAGGCATATAGATTAGAGTTGGTTTTGAAGTGATGATGGGGACAGGTACAGGGTCAAGATGAGACAACAGAGAAAAAGGCAACTGCACATTTTAGTACAAGAACCACCTTAGTGGTGAGGCCCCAAGATGTGGCTGGGGAAGAAGTGCATTGGCAACTGCAAGCCAAGTAGGAGCAGAAGGTTAAGAAAAGAGCTGACAGCCACATCAGTGACAGACGACACAACTGCAGAAGAGGGAGTGTACCAATAACCTGAGAAACTTACAGAAAGGATTTTTTGAAAAACAGTTCTACTACCTTGATTGTGATACCATATGATACACTGCCTTAGGTTCAGAAATTAGATTCCAATTTCAAATATTTATACATGAAGAATCTATCTACATGAATTTAATCAATCATATAATAACTGTGGACTGGTCATTGTTGCATCTACTTTTATTTCCTTAGTCACTTTTCTGACTGTCACTTGATAAACTAATAATCTGTGAGGAATTTGGAAATTATAGACAGGACATTAAACACAGGGAACCTGGATCCAACTCATAGGATAATTTTATTTTCTCTGACTGAATAAAGTGTAACATGAATTGCTAATTTAGTAAAGTCACTTGCTGACTTTTTTGTCAAGGACTACTTGGCCTTTGGATCAGACAGGTGTTTGGTTGTTAGTTATTTACTGACTATTCATCAATGTATGAAAGAATCATGATCATAAAGGAAAGTAATTATATCATGTCATATCATATTAGGTAATCATTTTATAAATAGGCCTCCCTACTGAAGTCTCCTAAAGGACTGAACACACAATATATTGCAAGTTCGTAAGTTCTTTAAGCTGTATGTTAAAAAAAAAACAACTTGGAATGAAGCATGAGTTTTTATGAAAAAAGTGGAAATTTCTAAGGTTTACGTCAGACATTTAAGACTACAGGTAATTTAATAAATTTGTAGTTATTAAATGCATTTTCATTTTAGAAAGCTAGTGGATGAAATAAAGAATTACCTCATATCCTCTGGAACTGTTTTGTATTCCAAAATGTGGAGTACCAGGGTCTGTACATGTATTGTGAGCTGGATCTAATGTAAAGTGTGAAACATGACAGATATTATTATAGTATGGAAAGAATAGTTAGAGTAACAGTAAACTGTTTGCAAAGACTAAGTCATTTTATCCAAGTCTAGTGATGACAAGAATTGAATTTTTAACGTAACAAGTGCATTACTATATATTGCATTTGTATTTCCAATTAAATTTCCAAGGCAGATCACAAGTTCTTTTTTACAGGTAACTTCATCATTGTAGACTTTAGAGTTAGGATTGCATTAATTTTTGCTAAGCTTATCCTTTTAAACATTTGTGAATAAATACTGTATCCCACTGTTCAAAATGTGGATGGAACATATAGGGACATCTTTTTCTTCTCTTCTTTCCCAACAAACAGCTTAATGATTAAAATAGATTTCGAAAAAAAACCCTTGAAACCCCCCAAAAAATCCAAACCCAAAACCAACCTGCTTTCTTACAGCAAGAAAAATACTTATTTTCTTGATAGAATTTTTTTTTTGCCACCAAAAAACAAAAAGTTTCAAATGGACTACTAACTCAGTTGTTGCTGGAGAATGAAAAGACACTATCCTCACAAAAAATGGTACACCAATGGACTATAACTAATTATATGATGATCAGTTTCATGAATGTGATTTAAAGCTGCTTGAAACTATTTTTGATTCAGCATTGTCCACTTCACATTCTGATGTATTTGCTTTGGGGTTGCCCAGTCACATCCACCAGGTAGACAGCACAGGGCCTGATCCTATGGATCTTTCTTTACTATGTGGTACCCTCTTGGCAACCAAGTCTGCTTTTGTGTTGACACTGCATTACAAAGAACATCACTTGGGACTATATTTCATATGTAACCATTTTTAGTTTTCTGTAGAGGAAAAATTTAACTTATCACGAACAGCTCAAGAACTTTTTACAAATTATCATCAGCTGAAATGCCAGTGGTAGTAATAGGCACATGAAGATGAATTGACTTTTTAAGATACGTCTGATCTGAACAAAAAGTTAGAAAAAAAAGAAGACCTCTCAAAGTAATTTAAGAAAATTATCAATACCCAGAAATACTTTAAGAAGTTTTCCTTTTTGAAAATTAAGATCAGTGAACAATACCTAGAACTATACCTAGAAGTACCACATGAAGGTTGCATCATTTGCCATCATATGATACTTCTAGACATAGGTCTAATATTTTCTATTTATGCAAACATAAAAACAATTATGTAAATTTTCCATGTACTTCTGTGTTATGCTATATAAAATAGAAATAGAAATGTCATTACAACATTTTCAAATTTGATTCTTCACAATAGAACTGAGATTCAGCTTTTGTAAATCTTCTTGCCTCTGTTAAAAAACACAGATGTAGAATGGATTGCCAAGTTCATAAAAACTATGGACAGAAGAAGGTTTGAATGCATATCAAAAAACTGTATTATGTTAATGTTTTAATGTACTAATACAGGCTGCTTTCAGTAACCACGTTTGCCACCTTTTCCTAGAGTGTCCACGCCAGCTCTTCTGTATACCCAACATCTCAGCCACAGTAAAATATACAAACGGTCTACAGTCTATATCTGAATGTTTTTCTTTTAAAATATCAAAGAGGATTTCTTCTATTATAAAACCAAAATAATTTTCTCTAGCAAGTCACCCCTAGCTGGATATGCCAATGTCAGTGGCAGTTACAGGTCCAGTATTTCTCTCAGTTAGTATGATTACATACATTTTAAAAGCCTATCAGTTGCACATCAGTCAATGAGGAACTAATAATACTTGGCAGTTTATCAGAATTGCAAAAAACCAGACCCAGCAATCCTTCTGAGGGATTAATCCTTTTGAGCTGTACAAGGCACTTTGACAAAGTCCAAAAAGATTTTTGATTGAGGTTTGTTTCTGACAAATGCCTTTAACTCTTCAGTGACAGAATCTGGTCTTTAATCTGCCAAAGTCCTCTGCATATCTGAAAGATTCTAAAAATAGATGGAATAAATTTATGCACTTGCTCTTATTGACATTCTGCATTTCCAGCAGACAAGCAAACATGTAAATTTACAAATGACTTCATATGTGATGGTGTTTATCCTAAAATTTTTATACTTAAAATATAACCTTATTTATCTTGTTCTTTTTATATTACACAGACTTTTTCTATATTTGGAAAGATAATTGCTACATTTATGATAGTGTAATAGTTTATCAAAATATTCTCAGCAGAAACTGCGTAAGTAGTGGTAGTTATTACCAATGCATGTTGGCTGAATTCCACTCCAAGTACCATCTGCTTGACAGAATCTTCTTGAAGAGCCTATCAGAATAAAAGGAGGTCTGCACTGAAAGCTAACTTCAGATCTGTAGGTGAAACTTTTTCCATTGAGACGTCCTTCTGCTGGAGTACCAGGATCACCACAAAATACAGCTAATACATAAAAAAGGAAACAAAATAAAAAGTTATTAAAAAACACATGTTTCAACTAAAGTATTTTACATTCTTTTATGTTCAAATCAGGCACACTGAATATGAGTGCAAATGCTATGTTCATTTATCTGTATAGGATTGCAGCTCAGATAGATTCTTGACAGCAATTTAAAATTGTTGCTGTTATAGTTATGATAAGCACAAATCTTAACTTGGAAAAATAGACCTTTTAATTTAAACACTTAAATCCTGATTAGATTTGGATGACAAAGTAATCTCAGAGTAGACAATGCTATATTATGATGTTTCAAAATGTATCCAGTTTTCACATTGGTCACCCTCAGATGAGTAGGGTGGACATTTTTGCCATAATTAAGTAAAAGGAAAAATGTTTGTCAGAGTCCTGACAAGATTTCAAGCACTGAAAGATATGAGTTGACAGATTTAGAAGCAGTTGAAAAACAAATACAAATAAGATATGAGGGTATGTACTCGCCCTAGGGAAAGAAAAAAGACTTTAGAAAGGAGAGCAAGGCTATGAGCTTATGGGTTAGGATCCTTGGTTTCATCTGTTATTGGAAATGGAAATGCAGAAGAGCAAAGGAAAAGTGTAAAGGAAAATTTCAGTTGTGCTCACTACAAGTCAAATTTACAACATTCAAAAAGATTATCAGTAAGGCAAATGGTGATGGGTCCGATCAGCTAACAGATGGAAGACTTTTGGAGAAAAGACCATGACCCTAAATGGGTACAACCACTCAATTTCATAACAAGGTATGCTTTTTGGAAGAAGGAGGGAGAAGCTATGGAATAGTTCATACATTACCTATCTAGCCAAGTCCTTTTTAAACAGTGAGAAACTGACTGAGCCTTAGACAACTAATGGTAGCTTTGGTGAAGCCCAACACAATGGTACACTGAAAACTTACGCAAACATTGTGGGATGTCTCCCCGCCAAATTCCTCGACCCTCACAGGACAGAATAGCTGTGTTAGATAGCTGATAGCCTTCTGCACAGCTGTAACTCACGCTGGCACCCCAGCGATAATCAGATCCTTCTACTTTCCCATAAAGTACTGGTGGAGGGGGGCCACAGGTAATAGCTGTGTCATAAAAAGAAAAGTTATCACTTCAAAACTTTATAGAGTTCACAAGAATGCAACATAATATCTACTCATACTTTCAAAACAAACAAAAATCATGCTGTTCAGTTCCAACAAAGCACTGCTGTGTTGACAAAGAAGCAGTAGTAGAGAGGAAACCGATTTAAATACAGAAATACCACCTCTAAGTTTAGGAAGTCCCTGAGCTCTAGGTTGCTGGAAGCCACAAGCTTACCTAGTTTACCTAGTTCTGAATCTCTTCCCTACATATTCATTACTGATCATTGTTGGCAACAGGCTACTAAGCTATGTAAAAATTTTCAATAAATATTATTTATTTCAATAAACATGTTTCTATGATTCTACAATTCTAAATATTAGCATTTTATTGTAAACGAATTTTGCAGCACTATTTAAAGGCCTTAATATGACTCTGTCCATTCACCTGCTTATTTTCTAAGGATTTCAGCACACAATGGACATTGACTTTATTGGCAATTATTAGTGGCTAAGACTCTTTAAAAATGTTTCAATGTTTTCTAGCTTCTGAAAGAGG